ATCTACACCTAAAACATCCCTGACAAAATTAACACCGTATTCTCTTTGAAGAGTGCTAAATTTATAAAACTTTAATACTCCTTTTTGGTAATATGTTAATGCAATATCATTACCTTTTTCATCTTTTACATATAAGATTTGTCTTCCCTTATGATTTTCCCCAACAAAAAAAACCTTTTCATTACGTATAGTTTCACCATTTTTTTTATAAAATTGTTTAATCATTTTTTTTGTAGTTTCTTTTTTACGAATTTTAACATCATTTTCTGATAAATCTCTTGATATTTCAAATTCCTTATTTATATTATTTTGAAACTCTTCATCATCTTGAAAAGACGTTTCTTCTTCTTCATAATCATCATCATAATCATTATTTTTAAACACAGGATTATCAAACTCATAACCTCCTTCAGCCATTTTATTCATCTAAAATATTAGATAATAAACAATAAAAAGAACCTGTTAAAAACAACTTAAGATAAAAATAATTAAATTTTTTATTTAACATTATTTTTACATTTTTTACTAATTTTTCTTTTGTTTCTTCACCCATTTATTTAATTAAAAATTGATTCATAGTTTGGTGGATTTCCGTTATCAACTAAAATTATTTTATTAAAGAAAATCAAAGATTTTCCATTTTTTTTTTTTAATTCGTTTTTTACTCTATTTTCTGTTTCCTCAATTAGTTTTTTTCTTTCATTATCATTCATTACTGTTTGTGTTTGTTTTGTTCGTATATTTTCTTTCATTTTGTTGTATTTTTCTAATTCATCTAAAATAAGTTTAAATTCATCTGCACTTATCTGTCCGTCAGTTAAAGATTTTGATATTAAATCTTTTATGCTGTTTAACTTGCATTCTGCCATTGTTTTAATTTCATAATGTTTTTTTGATTTTGTTGTCAACTTTCTTCTAATTAATTTAACTAGACCTCCTAAACTTCCACATACAACAGCTGCAATTTGTATGGGAAGTAAGATAGGAAAAGCTATTCCTATACCAGCTAAAACAACAGATGTCGAAATTAAACTTGTATCAACACCATCAGTAACATTAACTCCGCGTTTATATTTTTTGTATAGTGATTTACGTTTATCTCTCTCATTTATTAATGTTTTTTCTATTTCTGTTATTTTTTGTAGTCTATAATTTTGTCCATCTTCTATAGGTAATTCTGGATATAAATCAGGAGCTGTAGGTTGTTTCATTTTTTAAAGTAAAAATTGATTTTTTTTTTTTTCTCTTAAATCCCACAGAATTCTTTCTTCGCCTGTTCTCCCGGTTTTTTTATTTATTTTTTTTTTGGAATTTTTTTGTTGTTTTTTGGGTGTTTTTAATAACGTTTTTTCCAAAGTAAAAAAAAAATTTTTTTGGGAGTAAGAAAATTTTGGTGTTTTTGCGTTTTTTTTTGCTTTTTTTTTTATGAAAATTTAGGGCGCTTTTACTTGAAATGAGGGTAATTTTTTGGGGGTCAAATTTTTTTTTTTTGGAGGGGGATATAGGTGTGTGATATTGTGTCAGTGGTTGTCGTTGGTTCATGTCTGTCATATTGGTTTTTCGTAAATTGTTTTGTTATGAATTAGGCTGTAAGTTTTCTAAATGGAATTGTTTAATATTTTTGATGTCGGTGTCTTTTAATTATAGCCGACTACATACTCTGGGTTTTTCTCATTGTTGAAGACCGTACGGTTGCCTGTAATTGCTTACACACACTTCATTTGAACTTTGGTGGATAGTTGTCTCATTAGCAATCATAACACATCTCCTTTTTTTTGTATGAACCGCATAACGAAAGCAGTACAGTGGAAAGTAATTTATCATTATTAAACTGAATGATAAAATACGAAATTAATGAGTTATAAAAAGTTTTTTTCTGAAAATCAAACTGTAAAACTAGCTGCTTCTTTGTAATCTCCTGCACGCTCTGTTGATGAAATTATTTTTCAATTTTTACCTATATTTGTGTAATGCATTCCTTCCTGGATGGCGATAGGCCAATGAAACCCATCAGCATCACTTACCTGTATCACGAATTAATAAAAATACCAAATATATTTGATATATTCTTTACTATTCTATTTAAAAATCCTCGTCTGTTTATTTACAATTCTACTTTTAAAATAAAAACAACAAAGAACTATATTATGTGCACATTAACCGACTTATATAAGATAGTGTTTCACTTTCTAAACATGCTGAAGTAGTTTATTTATAGTAATTCAATTTCTTAAATAGTTTATTACGAGTAATTTAATACACATTCTAAAGTCGTTTATTTATAGTGATTTACTTTCTTAAATAGTCTATTAAGAGTAATTTAATACACTTTCTGAAGTCGTTTATTTATAGTAATTCACTTTCTTAAATAGTTTATTAAGATTAGTTTAATACACTTTCTAAAGTCGTTAATTTATAGTAATTCACGTTCTAAAATAGTTTATTCAAAGTTATTAAATACACTTTCAACAATCGTTTATAAATAATAATACGTGGGTTACATTGTATGTGTGCCAATCTACAAACCTTGGCCTCATTATGTCATGTGAACAGCTGTAAATGTAAACACGATATTGTAAATAAACATCGCTATTCACATACAGTCAAGTTGTATTTATTATTTTTTGCGTTCAACTGGTCAATTCTGAACATCATATGTTAACATAAAATGGTATAATAATGTCTAAGGCATATGCTTAAAAAGTCCACAAGAATACAATTGCAAATATCTAAATCGGTCTTTGATTTTTGTTCTTTTTAAGAAACGCAATGAAAAAAAGACATAAATATGCGCAAAACATCATCTTTTTTCCATGTGTAGCAAGAAGGATAACTTTTCCTTTGATCTTTGAAGAATTAACTCAACAAAAGTTATATAAAAAGGTGTACATCAATATGACGCTTTTTATATTGTAGCACTATCCTGTCCAGCTGTTGATCTATCGTAGGTCGATCTTTTAGACAAATGCATTCAATTCTATCTCAAAGTAATTATTGCACACTGTCTTGTGGTGCTCCGCTTCTTGGGAGTAGTAACTTTTGATAATAAAACATAATGTAACATTATGATCAGCGAACAATACTATCCGTCATTCATACAAAACAATACAGAAGCTATCATTATACTATATGCAGTGTGCATGTTCACAATTAATAAGCTATTCGCTATATTTTATATTACAAATCACCGGACTATTTTTGTTACATGAAAACAATATGCTTATAAACATAATTAAATCTATGTATTTTGTACTCCCGACCACACGAAGTATGTCGCAACCCGTTATTTCGCAGATGTGAAATTGATAATGACAAACGTTTAAATTGAAATTTAAAGTTTTTATCTTTATTTAGGAGTATGTACATTTAGGCATTTCATTCGGCATCGTTCCTTGGTGGTTTCAGCAGTCTGGCCACCTAACAATATGCATTGAACTCTTCTGCACAAGTACGAAGATTACATATACCAGTTATGTGCATAGTCTAAGATGAAAATAATACCTGACATCAATGTCTTTTCGTGGATCAATAATCAAGAGTACACATTTTGTGATTAAGTGCGTATCTCAGATACTATTAGCAATAGGTCAACTATATTTGGTATGTGGTATGATTGTTCATGTCCGACTGGCAAGTTTTATCTGACCTTGTCCTTTGTTCATAGTTCATTGGATATTGTTTGTTGTTGTTGTTTTTTTTTTATCAGATACTTTAAGCAATAGGTCCAATATATTTGGTTTATATATTGCTGTAAATTGTACATGTCTGTCAGACAAGGTTCATATGACCGTGGTCCCATTCTCATGGAACATTTTAAGATAAGTGATTTTGGTCCTTTTCTCTAATACTATAAGCAACTAGGGACATTATACATGGTTATATGTGTTGAATGGAATTATTCTGAGGAAATAATGCTTGACATGGTTGAATTGACCTTGCCATTGATCTAATTTGTATTCATCATTAATAAAATTAGGTTGACGTGTAGTAAAACCACCATATTGCATACGTTCAACATAAATGCAATCATAGTACGTAAAGCAGTCGAAACAATTTAGCGTTTACACTCCTGTTGTTAATTCGTCTTAAACAATACTATATAAATAACACATAGCTGAGAGGGTGATAGAGCAGATTGTTACCCCGAGAAAACATTGTCAACCGCGGCGAAGCCAAGGTTGACAATGCTTTTTCGAGGGGTACCAATCTGCTCTATCACCCTCTCAGCTATGTGTTATTTAATTTATTATACTGAATGTCCTATCATTATTGTTCTTTACAGATGAATTTTATTTAAAAGTATTTTCTATGACGTCACGTACATAACAACGTTATTACGTTGGTATTAGAAAATTCAACAGAAGTGGAGCAAGATGTTTTATTTTTTTATTTTGACAGTTAAATAATAGAATCTGAGCCAAAACGTAGAACTTGAGCATTGTCTTTAATAACTTGATGTAAATTCAATTCATTGTCCTTTAAATTATCGATTTTTGATTGGTCTTAAAAAAAATTGTCACCCGCTAAGCCATGTGATAGAGTAAATTAACACCCTCGTATCAGCCAATCAAAATATGGCACTTTAACGTGAAGTATAATAAATAATAATGTAATATTCTTCCTTTCAGTCCATTTAATGAAACTAAAATAATTTTTTTTCTCCTACCAATAAAGTCACTGTATGTACACTTGTGTTTACTATGATTAGTTTTTTGAAAGGACATTACAGTAAAAAAAAACTTCCGAAAATAATAATGAAAAAATTGACCAAGCAAAACAACATCAAACGAACAAGAAAGTATCGACAATACAACTATCTTAGTTGCTTAAATAACACTGTCGGTTGTACAACTGGTACATGGACATAATAACCATCATCAACACGGCGCTTCTTCACTCGGCGATATTGACCAGTATAAAAAAAATGACATATGACGCGTACAAACTTTGAGATAGTGTATAGCCTTTATTTGAACATTAATTGTTTATCATTTCAGAATGATTCGAACAGAGCAATTTGGTTAACCATTTCTGGTTTTGGATATATTTCCTGGTGGTGCTATGATTTTTTTTCCAGACTGAACAACAATTTATATGAATGTACATTTTTTTAAATACTAAGGTTTTATTAGATACTGATATTTTGTTAATATTGGGACATTACTGTTTCATGAGTTTTGCTTAAATGAATTGGATAGTAATATTCCTTTTATGTGTGCATACCATGGCATTGGCAGGCTTGTCTAATAAAAGTAAGCTTTTATTCATAATATCAAAGAAGTTGGGCACAGTCACTATTTGGGATATGGTGACTTGAATATGCGTACCACACATACATGGACTTAGGAATCAAAATACACAAATTAATGAGATTACTCTGATGACATCTAATCGGAACTTCTGTCCCGCGAAAAACAAATATTGTAAATAATAACGGTATTGCAAAATCAATTGCGATAAATCATAAAAGGTGCTCATTGTATTTTGTGAAATCGAATCCTTCAAGAAAATGAATATACTTGAAATAAATCTTGTTTGTATTTTGGTATTGATTGTAGCCTTATGGAGTTGTCTGTTTATTTATAGTTATATATTATAGTTTGCATGATCCTTTGGTATCTTTTGCCTCTCTTTTTGGTACACCAGGAATGTAAAAACAAAGGTATACACAAAGTTTTTATTAAGAACAAGTACCTAAAGAAACCGAAAATAAATTAATTTGAAGAACTAGACTAAGTGATGCAAATGTTGTAATGTAGTTACCATTAAAAAAACTAAGCTTGTTAAGGAATATACATGTATATATATAAATCGTGTCGAAAAACAATATTTTATATCTTTCATAACAATTTTCGGAGTAGTTCGTGAGTGCATTTTTTTTTGTATATCTTTGTTAACAATCTGTCTTCATTTCTTGCGAATTAACAAATATGACGTATTTGTTACTTGAAAAAAAAACTACAGATTTATATACATTCAACTTACAAATGTATAGCGATAATTTAAACAATTACTCAAATCTTTTCAGTATATTGGACGATTGAAGACCTTCCTGTTATTTATGGAAGAAACGTGACTTTGTTCTGCAATACATCAGCAGTAGGTTCACAGAAAACTACATGGATGAAAGTGTCAAATGTTATTCTCCACCATGGTCTCTCGTTCCAGCCAGATAAATACAGCGGAAAGGAAGAAAACGATGGTTCCTCTCTCATAATAATGAATGTTACTAAATCAGATTTTAATACATCATATACGTGTTTGTCCGACGTTTATTCATTCGAATCTGTCTTGGAGATAAACAGTTCCATTTTCATTTGTAAGTCATGTAAAATGCTTTTGCTATACAATGTAGAAGGCGTATTAACGAACTAATTCATATCATATCCTGAATAAGTAATTAATTATTTTCAGGCTACCAAAAGTTTAACGATAAGATACATCTATCTTTTGGCAAAAAAGGTAATATAACTTGAGTAATTGAAAAATTCATCAGCAAAAATCAATTCGGTATTTAAAGAGCTGTTTACGAACATTTATTTTTTTGTGGACAATCTTTCTTATTTTACAAGTGTGTACTACACAATGTAAAATTAGCAAACAACGAAATGGACTGATTGTGAAATACATTTAACCTTACAATGAGTATTGGAACGTTTTGTTTGGAATTGTTGAAATTTGACTTATTCCGAGACCAAATTCAACATAAAAAGTTGTATTTAGGTAATCATATCTAATCTTCAATGATTTATTTCTAGTTATTTCTTATCATTGATACTATTATTATTATAATTATTATAAAATTCCTTTATCATTGTCTAAGGTTTGCCACAAAGCACAAACAATTCGTTGATGATTATTGGTAGAGATATCATGGTTCATTTAAATCTCAACAGATTTTTTCCAGTACCAAAATGCCAAACCATGTTTAATGTAAGTATATGTACAAGTAACCGGCCACGCCCACTTTGTCTTTTTGTTAGATGTATTTCTATTTGTACATCTGATGAGTTAAGCCTTTTTCAACTGATTTTTATAGTTTGTTTGTATGTTGTTACACCACTGTCACAGGTAAAGAGGGGGGTGGGTGGTTAGCGCTCATAAACATGTTTAACCTCGCATCATTCTTTATGTGCCTGTCCCAAGTCGAGAGTTTTTAGTTCAGTGGTTGTCGTTGGTTCATGTCTGTCATTCCCGTTTTTCGTAAACTATTTTGTTATAAATTTGGCCGTTAGTTTTCTCATTTAAATTGTTTCATATTTTTCATTTCGGGGCCTTTAAAGCCGACCACATGGTATGGATTTTTTTCTCATTGGTAAAGGTCGTACGGTTGCCTGTTATTGCTTTCATCGACTTCATTTGAACTTTGGTGGATAGTTGTCTCATTGACACATCTCCTTATTTGTATATAAAGATGACACAAAACAAAACAAATACATTGTATGATACGGTAAGGATGTATATTTGCATATTTGATCAGGATGGCGGTTTATTATTATATTTATAATATATTATAAAGTAATTTTTATGTATGATTTTTGTTTTAAATTGGCTCAAATTGGCTGTCAAATCCTTAGTCTTGTTGCAACTAAGGAGTTAAGAGCTCAAATTGAGTTGCTTGAATCAACATATGTACGATAAATATAATTTCATAGAAAGTAAAACAAGACCTACTTTAAAAAAAAGACGGTATTGATGTGATATTATCCAAATCTGAGTTTAAAAGTAACGTACTACTATTTTTGTGATAATTTTCATTCGTATGACTCCAAAATCATTCATGAAGTGTCGTGAAATTGTATGTAATTTCAAATATGTATTTGTTTCATACTCTAACGTATCGTTTCTTTTTGAAAAAAATTATAATTGGAATAACAATACTGTAGATGAAAACGTCGCCAGTAAAACTTTAACAGCGACAACTTTCTATCTTCAGTTCTTTTATTCCTACATTGATACACTTAGCAATATTTTGGAAAAAAATTTAGCAAAGGTACTCTCAAAACTAATAAACGATAACCTAACAATGCAAGGCAAAAAAACAACAAAATGTCAAACTGGTCTACAAAATACTACAAACATTGTAGCCATACAAAACTAGCAACATGAACTCTATCAAAAACTGCGGATTTTTAATAAGTTATACTGACGAATAAGCAGGTATTGCACAACTAGTGGCACTAGTTATGCTGTTTGTGGTAAGTACACAGTTTGTGATCAGTCGTATTATGTGACGCGAAAGGACGGGATTGTGGTGAAAACTATAGGATCGTATCCGTGGTCATCTGTGACATGCGTGACTAAGATAATCCATAACGGTCAACCAGTTCCTATTGGCATCCGTAACATGCAATAAATAATACAAATTGCAAATATATAGTGTTACCTAAACGGAATTATGACATTCTTTGTATTACTAATTTACAAAATATCAATACTAATTTCAGGCACATTAATCCAAATTGAAACTTACAAAAATATGTATGTTAAGTTATATATATATAAAGTAGACCTTCAAGACTATAACATGCTATTAGTTAGGAAGAGGTAAGAAATAATATAAAAAATTGAAAACAACACGTTTAATAATTTCATGTGTCCGAAGCGCTTTTCTGGATTTACCTTCATCAGGAAAGAAACTGCAACAAAGTGATAAAGGTATTTTTGACGTTTATGTTCAGTTGTTTGGTCAGACATTTCCAACTTGACTTTATATATTTAAATAAAAACAAAATACATGTATGTTGATATACATTGTGTAATGACATATCAACAAACAAAATCGGCATCTTTTAAAAGTTCAATTGACTTAGTATACCCTAATTTGAGCATATACTAGTGAGTCAATTAGGAATTTGTGCATGATGAAAACCAGTTTTGAAATAGGTTCTTATTCAGATTTTAAATGTTTGTTCTAACATATTTAGATATTTGCAAGAAAATACTGCGTTCTAAGTAAAATTACAGTGATGTAAATCCTGTAATATTGCAGGGAGACATGCTCATTACGAACCAACAAGAATCAGTTCACATGACAAACAGGTTCTATCATGGTACAATTAACATCACATCACAGTCTGCTGCTGACTTATGTGGTGGCAATCTGACAGTTATGTGCCTGTTTGGGAGTTTGTATTCCGAAGCGATTGAAACAATAACTCTGCAAAATTGCAATCATGGTAATTTTGTTCTTATAAGAATAAGATAAAAACTATTCATACGGCTATCTGAGAATTGTAAATCAATTTTGAAAAAAGAAGATCTTGTATGGTGCATTTAAATTATACACAAGCTTCTGCAGATACCTGATGTCTCATTCTGTGTGCGCGTCACAGAACAGTAATACAGTTTACATTGAAAAGCATATATTTGAATTTGTTTTATTTCAGGATGTAAAAGACAAATGTTGTTTGATATGATTTTTAAAATGTTTTCCTTGCATAGTAAAACATAAATATGTATAGCATAATGATTATATTTAATGCTCGTTTATCGGATTTAAACAGATTTATTTGTAAGAAAAAAAATATAATTTTAAACATAGATAAAATCTTTTTCACTCAAGGGTCTAAATTTCCTGAACATAGTTTTGGAGTAGGAACGACCATCAGTGTGTGTATGTTGTGTGTTATCTTTTGTGTTCTGATGATTTATATCCTTGTCAAATATTTCTGCAAGTTACAACAAGAAAAGAAAAATCCTGAAGGCAAGTATTAATGCTTCAAGAATCAGTTTCTTCAAATATTGTTTAATAGTACGTTTATACCTGGTGTACATAATTAAAACAAGGTCACAGTAGATCAACCTGGTAAAAGAGTGGTCACGACGTAGAAACCCAATACTAGTTTGGCATGAACACTAGTCTAAGAGCAATTATCGAAAATGATATTAAAGGATACATACACAAGTTACGATACCATAATGTTTAAAGCATTCATTACTTAATTTTCCTGAAAGAATCATCAAAATATGAGAATAGAAAAAATACAAACATACAAACAAAACTGAACACTAACTTCATGTTTCCATAATGTCTTGGATATATACAGTCTGCCAAAAGTTAAGCACCACCTATTTTTATTGCATCGAAATTGTTTTCATTTAAAAAAAAAACCAGTTATTCCTCGTAAAGGAGAAAATATTCAAGTAGCAAATTTTCTAACATATACCATAAACAAATCATAACTTAAGTTTGGTCACTTAGGCAGGTTCTACATGTATGCATTTAAATTTGCATTCATAGATATAGTGCAAATTACACAAATCAGAAAAGGAATTTAAGTTTCACTGTGATTTGTTTTTCAATAATTAATCACCCAATATCATTCGAATTCTCTACAAATAACCGTTGGTATGTTTGACAACTTTAATGTCAATATTAGAGTCAACAGGATGTGTAACTTCCTCTCTTACGGTACAGTTCCATAACACGGCGCCTCATACTCTGTACAAGCCTTCTGAACTTTAGTTCAGGAAATCTATTTATGTACAAAAACTTGACGCAAATGGGTGATTATCAAAATGAGGGACTACAATGTTTCTAATCACCAAATCCATGTAGTCTGTCCCTTCATGTTACCCTGCAGAATATTCATATCCAGCTTACAAAGGTATGAAAAGCAACCCTATACTGTAGCACACCCATCACCGAATGCAGTCGTTGGGCAAATGTTTTGGTCATAGGAAGGTTTATTTTCTCGCCAAACTCGTATTCTGCCGTCTACTGGTCGTAACAGAAACCGACTCTCATCTGACCAGTGAATGTTTTGCCAGCTTCTCATGTTCCAGTGTCGATGGTCATCAGACCATTGAAACCTGATTATACGGTGCCTGGCTGTTAGGGCAGGTCTCTTAACAACACGACGTGCTCTTAGGTTGCCTCTATGAAGTCGAGGGACCAATGTTCGAACACTGACATGACTACCTGAAAGCCAGTGGTGTTTAAGCTGCGTGGTAGGAGTAAATGTGTTGGCTTTAGCACAACGAATAAGCAGTCTGTCATTACGACGGGTAGTTAAATGGGGTCTTCCGGACCTTGGTCTATCGTTTACAGTTCTTGTGTCAACATGGCGTTGTAAAAGTCTGACAATGACGGTGTGATTAACATTGAAATGGATACCTATGCTCCTAGTGCTCCTACGGGCATTTTATATGCCAATTACTTGCCAACGTTCAGCCACAGATAAGTTACGCCTTGCCATGTTACACAATGACTTGATGAAGATCAAATTTCACCTTTACCCGGGACAATAGGAAGATAATTTAAAGGTATCATAACAGTGTATTTGTAAAAGTGCAGATGACCTTTAAAATACAAAATTTGACGGGTTTATCGGAGTTCAATCTTTTTGGTCTTAAAGAATTTTTTTAGTGTATGTTAAAGGGAATTCATAACACCAAACATTAATAATTTTTTCGCAAAAATTAAAAAGATATTGCCAGTTATATTTAGTTGGTGCTTAACTTTTGGCGGACTGTATATAATTTGTTTGCTATAATAAACAATTCATGGAGTTGCGAAAATGAAGTCCACATTGGCCAATTATCAATTGAATACAGTTATACTATATTAATTCAAATGCACAATTATAATTTTAAGGGGTTTATGGCATACATGAACATGATGAAACTTACAAACTAGATTTCATAATAAACATGAAAATATAATATCTCAAAAACGTAAACGTCAAAAAAAAATATATAGTTTAATTTCATATAAAGATACATGTATATATTTAAACTGTGCCTTCTTCCGGCTATCTCACATATTTACAAGTACGTTCAAGTATTTAACAATGCCATTTTATTTTCAAGTTCACTGTATAGATATATCATCAGATTTTTAATAAACACATAATTTTATTAAAGAAAAACGCTATCAGAATTTAAAAAAAATATGTTCCTTAAAATCGTGTTTTCACCTTTTTTTTTTTTAATGTTGCCTTATTTCGTTGTTTAGTGATGGTCTTATGCTATAGTATAACTGTAACAAACAAAATTATAACAAAAAGATACAGCTGAAAATATGCTGTAGGGTAGAAAAATTTTTATCTTTCAAAGTTATCTATGACCAATAACTGATTTAATGTAACCAATTGAAATTAGAACTTGAATAGAATCTACTTGTACGACCATGTAAGAACAATTTGTCATTTTACTGTACAGATAACATAGAGGAATCCCAGTCACTTAACGAAGTGGGGCCACATGGAAATGGTTCTGAAACAGAGGCGAAGGTACTGCATGGCAATTATTTGCAAATATTAAGATATAGCATATTTTTTTATGATACAAAAATATATCGATAGACCAATATACTCAATTAAAATCATATGTAATGTTTTTTAGAAGGGATTATTAATTGGTCTGTTTACTTGGTATTGTTTTAATATGACCAATTTGATTCAATAAAATTCAGAATGAAATATCTGCTGAGGATTCTACTGAGAGCAAACTTGTTGCCTTGTAACTAGTGGCTGTTTTTGCCAGGTTTGATAAACCTTTTAATTGTTATACAAAACTGGTTCCATACCAGCTCTTCAGCTGTTTCTGTTCAAATATATCCTTGGCTTACAAATATTCCGCTTTGAACATTCCTGATGAAGGAAAATCCAGAAAAGCAGAAGCATGAAATTTACCAAGTATTGGTTTGATTGTTTATAGTTTATTTTCCGCAATGATATAAATTCAGCTTAAGAGTTATCCAACACTATATATTTAGCGCTAAATAAGTTAATGCAAAAGAATTAACAAAAACCGCACGGACATTGTAACTGTAAAAAAGTACTATTATTTAGATCCAACAAGAGAGTTTGAGATATAATAATTTTAGTTTTGTATTATTTTCACAGAATGAAAACGAAACAGCACAGACTTGGATACAGAATATCCTAAAGGAGTGTTACAACTTTTTTTTTAAATGCAATGAGCCAGGCTGATATGGTTGTAATCTCGTTTAATACTTATACACTTATTTTTTTCATTTCTTAAAAATGCCAATGCATTCACCTAGATCTTGATGAAACATTACATCATGTAGGTGTCACTGTACAAATTATTTTTCGACTCATATGGTCAACCGATAAAGCATAGAAAAAAGGTCGCCATCAGCCACACTAAATGATAGAATTTATGAACGAGGCAAATTATGTGCACTGGATGGAAGATTCTAAAACAATAATTTTATAATTATCCTAACTATAATGTAGACATAAAAAGGGAAAACCGTTGCATAAATACCTTCACATGACGTATTTCAATACTTTTTAATTTTAATTATCATAATTACAGTATAATTAAATTCAGTGTTACATGTAGAAGTACATGTATTGGCCTATTTACACGGATAACAGACATAATAAGATTACCAATTCTTAAATAATGGAACACTGAACAAAGTAGATAACCGATTAAATAGCGAAAATCATTAAATAATTCGTTCTCCGTTCCGTTGCATCCAAAGAAAAAAAACATATTTCCCTTTTACACTTGAAACTCTTTCATTCTGACTGACGAAATAACTGTATCCACCAATATAATTCTCTGCAAGTTCCGAATTCTGTATTAACTTTCCGAACAGTAAAAAATTAAAGAAACATTGCAAAAACATTTTTAACTATTTGTACTTGTTTTATTTGATTTAAAAATGCCATTACATGTCATATTTTAAAGAAAGATATTTTGTATCGACTATCAATATTTGTACAACAAATTACATGAAGTGTATTCTATTTTCATATTTTAAATATCTGTGTTGCCGTTTTATTTGTTTTTTTTTTAATCTACGACAAGGTCATACGAACTAAGTGATTTATCTCAAAAATCATTTTGTAAATAAACCAATGTTGTTAAAAATATATAACATGTGGCAAGATGCCCGCTGTGTACTTAGTACTAGTTGATCAATATCGATACAATGTATGGAATTTAAATTGTCAAATGAGTGACCCACATTTATTTGCCTGAGTTCTATACTGTCACATTTTGTTGTTTCATTAAAGAGGCAAACTACTTATGAATACAGATTTAGCCATAAAGGGTGTTCTATTTCGAGAGGTAGTTATATTATATGTATTCTTTATCAGAAAATATGATATGAAAATTAATTATAGAATAAATCTAAAGTCCATTTGAGTTATAATAGGATGGTGTTTGTAAATCACAAACCAGGACTTATACTAGAATTTAGAAAATAGAGATGAACGATCAATGTAGTTTGCATGTTTTATGTATATTTCAATGAATATCACCTCTGAAACCATTGCAATTTTAGCTTTTCACAAATATAGCGTAAATGTGTGATTATGACCTGTCACGGTAAATGCCACGAAAACACAGCTCAAATAAGAGACAACTATTTTGACCTAAGCACATAATTTCCAAATTACACCCTTACTTAAAATTAGAAGAAAGAATAAAGATGTCGTTTTCCTCCAACAAATGATAATACATATGCATGTACATTTTGAGGCGGATTTCCCATTGCCGCTGCAGAGCTTGTATATATCATGTGAAAGAATATAATTTTTTTTCAAATTTTGCTATCTGATTTTTGTTATGAAACTGAAATACATCACGTCGTCTAAAATAAAAAAATACACACTTAGGATACATTTACATGTAAATGCCTCGCTAATTTTATTTCTTTTTTGAAATTTAATGAACATGCAGAATTATATATTACAGGTGAAGATACAGGAACAATTATTTTAGTGCGA